TACCTTCAAAGGGGGTTGAAGTAGCGTAAAAATATTGTACCCGCGAGATGGTACGTGAGTCCCTTTTAATTCAAAGTATTTTTCTTTCTCTGAATTTTAATAGTAGCATATTTGTTCATTTAACGTATGGCTAGTTTGCTAAACAATCGCCAACACCTGAAGGTATGATGTAAATCCAGGTAGGGTCCATGCAGGTAGCAAAAGTACTGTAAGTCCCCATGGTCCTTAGCATGGTGATCTACCTTCAGTTGCTGGCAACCTTTTATGTTCTAATGTTCTGTTTAATAGTAGCATTTAATGAAAGCAAGCTAGTTTTTACTTTAATATCTGTGATATACTAGTAGGTTTACTATTCTTCGACAACAGACTTTTAATTTCAAATTGTATTGATCTATAATATCACTCTAAACTGTTGTTAACCGTTACTAACGGCTGTTTGAGAGAGGAATATTTGAAACGTATGTGAGTGAGTAGGTGAATTAGGGTGTCAATATGAGCAATATGGAGAGTGACGTTCTATGGTGCTTTCAGAAGCATTCCAATATCATGATGGGGAGACTGATGAATGGAGATTGAACATTATTTAAGTTACATCAGCATCGCAAGGATATTTAAATTGTTTCAGCCGAAGTAGTTGAAAACCGAACCTTGAAACACAGGTTCTTAAAAAGACGTTTTTCTTAACTGAAGATAAACAATAAGTAATAGACTATTTTATATTGTAAAGATGTAGCCGCTCCCAAAAGAAAGGATGTTTTTTTCTAATTCGCAGGGTCCCGACATGTGATCAGCTTTTTCTGAATACATCTTCAGTATAACACTGTTCATGATCAATGTGTGCAATGTTTTTAATAAAGAGCTTCGTTTAATGACACTTTAATAATTTTGTTATAGATATCTCATCATCAATTAAAAATATAGTGCCTTAAAATCCATGAACAGGTACGTGAAACAAGATTAATAAGTCTTTCTGCTAATGTATTCATTAATGCTGTTAGAAATTTGAGAAAGTAATAAATTCGTCTTCCATCATTACCTTTGTTACAGATAGAGAAGAAATAGAAAAATTCTTTCGTCCCTGGTCCGCTTGATAAGTAATATACCTGAGGAGCATTTATTAATGTTTATGTAGCCTTACACACGGAAGCGAGGATATGGTGAGGTCTGTTATGTGGACCCTCTCTACTGCTGACATGATCACAAATGTACGTGAGCAATATATTCCTAAAGAGACCAGGGTGTCCACCTCACTCTGAGGTCAATAATCAATCTTAGCTATCGTGCCAAATAGTGAGACACTTCGCGATACACACTTGTATAAGACATGGCGAGTAAAAATGTCAAAAGACTAGAACTGACCAGGTATATGTTTCACCATTCCATTTCACAACCAATATGTGCTTCAGTGATTGTGGATGCTGCTAAAAGTCATTCAGAGAAATGTGATACACTCACACTCTATCACTTAATTTTAACCCAATGTGTGATATATTCGGCCCTTACCCAAGATAGAATATATGTTTGCATGTATTATTCGGCAACACATTCCCTTGTGTTTCAAATGGTTTCATATAAATGTGCTTTGTGAGTGACTGGAGTTTATTTTTACGCCGCGCTCAGCAATATTCCAGCAATATGGCCAACGGTCAGTAAATAATCGAGTCTGGACCAGACAATCCAGTGATCAACAGCTTGGGCATTGATCTACGCAATTGGGATACGATGACATGTGTCAACCAAGTCAGCGAGCATGACCACTCGATCCCGTCAGCATGGGTTAATGAAGATCAATTCTTACCCGGATCTTCACGGATATGTATTCAATGTGTCAACAGTCATGGGGATAAATAATATCAGACCATCTGAACTGCTTCTATGTTTTATTGCACAATTAGTATGCGCTGTTTTGGCCCTGGATGATGCATGTGGTCAAACATGATGGTCATCTACTTCCTGGCAGCAACACAGGTGCTACCACTGATTTCGTAGGCGGACGCTGCGGCCTGAACGGCACCACTGCAATGTGAAGGTCCATCGTCAGACAGGAATGAGGAATTATTACTTATGCATTTCCTTCAAATGGGAGTTCCATTAATCAGGATTAATCAGCCCCTACCTTTTGTCCAAATGGCTTCATACTATTATATATCATCACAAAACTATAAGTAATGTCACCACACTGTACATCAACCTCATTAACTGTATAAACTCTAATATCCTTCATGTATATATTCTGCTTGTTCATACTGTCGAATATCACTTGCTTGATAACGGAGTTAGCATCTACACTGAAACGTCGTATCAAACAGATACATGTTGATGACATATTGTTTACGTTCGTTATTTCTTACAAAGAGCGGCTTTTCAGTGACAGTCGAGAACATGGACATTATATTGAACGTTTTTACCATAATCACACAGAAGATAAAGACCTACGAGTGATGTTATCACTTTTCATATAAACGTTGACAAGATGCAACACGAACGTTTTTAACCGTTGTATCAGTCTTCTGAGGAATTAGCAGCTGTTTCTATGCGGGCGATAAATCACTATTTTCTAATCTGTTGTATCAGGGGTGAACTATACTTTGATTTGAGTGAGTGAGTGAGTGAGTGAGTGAGTGAGTATGGTTTAACGCCGCTTTTGGCAGTATTCCATCAACATCACGGCGGGGGACACCAGAAATGGGCTTCACACATTGTACCCATGTGAAGAATCGAACCCGGGCCTTCGGTGTGACGAGCTAACGCTTTAACCACTAGGCTACCCCACCGCCCCTACTTTGATTTGAGACCCTTTGAGACGGATCTCTGTGAGAATGTTTTATGGATATACTTACTCAACGCAGTTCAAACTGCAGGGACTGTCGTAGTAGTTGCCGGCGGTGTCACACACTGGTTCCAAGCTGAGGGGACAAATACACTCACAGTTGACAGTGCTGGCTGTGGACCGAGATGGGAACAGAAAAATGAAGCTATAATGATACATGTCCCTCAATAAACACTATTTGTTTGCGATCATGAATACTTTTTACATGGAACCCCTTGGCCGACACTTTGATATTTTGTCAAGATGAATTTTGGCTACTAAATTTACAACGAAAGCTTTGTAGCTTCATTAGGGTGTTGTCGACACTTTCTGAAACCAACATCCACGGGTGTACTGTGATGGTGACAAGATAAGGATCGCTATCAAGCCGAATCTGGTATTTACAAAAGTATCAGAGGAAAATGCACCACTGCTTCTGAATATACATCTGAGTGTACTGATGAAACCGGTATAAAACTCACCGCATAGCACCACAGCAAGAACAGCAAGAATAACAGCAGCCTTCATCTTGATGCTTCTTTTCCAAACAGGATCAAAGTATCGAATGGATTTGCAATTCTAGTATTTATACAGTACACAAACCTCATGAAATACAATTTCAAGTAATATATAGCTCTCAGTCGATTTAAAACTCTATTTTATATCCCACAAATCATAAGTGTTTGCTTCAAGGAGGTTGCTGTGAGCAGTTAATGTTTCTTTGCCATGTAGAATCAACTTCACATCCACATAAAATACATGTAAACTCTTGATCAGCATATTTTAACATTTCTTGTCGCAGTAACAAGGAGCTTTGTTTGAGTTGCAGGTGTTTTTGAACATAACGCCCAATTTTACATATTAAAACTTCAGGGCTTGGAACATTCAATAACACCAGTCACACTGAAATGTGATGACGTTACCCTGGACTACTTTGACGCCTGTTACATCTGAACATGGTTTGCTGATTATTGGAAAAAATTAAAATCATTCTGAAAAATATTTGATGTACGTGATAATTAATGAATGTGGTATCCCTTTCGCTGAATGGCATGATTAGTTTGTTTACCATATAAGTCAGCCAGTCAGATGGTTGGCTTTGCGAACAGGTGCGTGTCATGTCAAAATTGACAATATTCACACTTACCATACGAAACCCGCTGGCGGTCGTAAGGATGCCCTCATATTGCCACTCAAACATATTTCACAGAAAATAAGCCTTATGATGTAACTACACGTAACTAAAACATCAACAAGCCAGTACAGTTTTATGCCACTTTTATCAATATTGCAGGTTTATCAGGACGTTGGACAACAGATATGGCCTTCATATATTGTTCCCATGCGTGGAAGTAAACACTTTAGCCACTAGGCTAATGTACAGCCCGAATACATAATGGGACATTAATTACAAAATGAGGGAGAAAAAATATTTAAACGACAAGGGAAAGTTATGTCCATTGTTCTTGGAACTGTTTTATTAGCATAACTGAATAACTGCCCTAGGGCAATTATTTCTATTTAAAAACAATGAAAGTGTACTTATTTTGATAATCTTCATCATGCCTAATATATTACACGCGTATTAAATAAGTATGCTCTCGTGGTGTAAAGACCCGTGAAGATCCGGGGTAGAATAGGTCTTCAGCAACTCATGCTTGCCACAAAAGGGGACTATGCTTGTCGTAAGAGGCGACTAACGGGATCGGGTGGTCAGGCTCGCTGACTTGGAAGACACATGTCATCGGTTCCCAGTTGGGCGGATCCATGCTCATGCTGTTGATCACTGGATTGTCTGGTTCAGACTCGATTATTTACAGACCGCCGTCATATAGCTGGAATATTGCCGAGTGCAGCTTAAAACTAAACTCACTCACTCACTCACACCTGGTGTAAGCCGTTTAGTCACCCTCACTACGGTAGTTATTTAAATAACCACCTTGTAAGGCTGATAAACCTATACATACCAAGGTTGTTTTTCATATAAGAGAAAAAAACTGATTTTAGTGACGGGTAATGACAGATACTACATAAAATACTCACAACAATCTGGTGCCTAGCACATAGGATTTTAACAAGGCATAAAATCAGAACTTACACAATTTACAACTAACATAAATACAAATTTAAACTACTGAGGAGACACATATGCTACTTCAAATATTTAATATGGGCTTGTGTAGTGTATAAATACCGTCATTTCAATCCAGTCGATACTTTGATTCTGTTTGGAAGAGAAGCTCCACTTCAAGCATCAAGATGAAGGCTGCTGTTGTTCTGGCTGTTCTTGCTGCGCTGCTGTGTGGTGAGTACAATCATTGTTTTATGTACAAGTCGATGTGAATTTTCAAAGGGGTCATATGTGCTTAGTGGAACCAGTTATGTTCGATCATACAGTGCTGCCAAAGTGTGTCTTTATCAAAATCTGTACTGTTCTGGAACGTTTAATGCACAGGGATTTCCGAAAACGAAATGATGTTTCAATCTCAGACATAAATTAGCTCAGCAGAGCTTCATCCCAACCTCAGGGCGTTGTTTTGTCAGTTTTATCAAATTATAGGTACAAGTCGCTGTGAATTTTCTAAGGGGTGATATTTGGTTGGTACAACCAGGCATGTTCGATCATAGGCCGTTTGGTTCCCTACAATGGTACAATGTGTGAAGTCTATTTCTGGTGTCCCTGCCGTGATATTGCTGGAACATTGCTAAAAGAGGCGTAAAACCATACTCACTCACTCGATCATTTGCCAGTACAGTTCTGCCAAGAGTGCCTTGAGCAAAGGTTGTAATGTCTTGTAACGTATAATGCACAGCAATTACCAACACGAAATGAGGTGAGCGGAGCGGAGCTGCATCCCAGCCTTAGGGGTTTCCTACCAGCGGCATATCCTGCTCGCTCGTGGTCGTCCTTACACAAGCAGTCAGTATACCAGGCTGACTGTACAAATGTAAGCAAGGAGATTATCAACTCTGGCTATAAGTGTCATTATATGAATTTTAAACAATGACACAATTGATGGCTGTGAAATGTGGATAACAGCATGTGAAACAGACTCGATGACCTTAGTGATATTTGACTTCATGTTGCAGAAAAGTCAGTCAGTCATGAAACTATAATGCACAAATATTTATACGTTTTCGGGACAGAGTGATCTGTGATATTTGTCACGCTTTCAGGAATGTCATATCCTCCTGTTGCTAATGACAGAATGATCTGTGATATTTGTTACCCTCTCGAGAAAGACATTATGATATATACTTATGTTCTATGAGAATTCCAAAACGGCGAGTCAAGTTAAGATAAGCATGGTCTAGGTGAGGCAGGTCTGAGGCATCTATCTTTGGTGAAACCAACGAGCACGCGAACGATGCTGACACATTTGGAACCAGGATTCGAACCTACAGGGTTCTGACGTGCCCAGTCGACGCAACTTTGCGGACGAGTGGAAACCTCTCGAACTCCAGCAATTTTGAAAACGTTGTCCCTCCAAAATGGTCATTTAAAGGATCAGTCAAGGTTTAACGTGTGGAAAATGTTTATTGTTGAGCTCATTGAGTTACCAGTATAATGTTTTTACCTTCATCTTTCTTCACAGCCAGCACTGTCAACTGTGAGTGCGCGTGTTCCCGCATCCTTGACCCCGTCTGTGACACCGCCGGCAACTACTACGACAATTCGTGCCTGTTGAACTGTGTTGAGTAAGTATGTCCATGAAATAGTCTGACAGAAATCAGCCTGAAACCCTAGCGGAAAGAGAATTGTGTAAAATAACGTTGATTATACATCCAGATGTAACAGGTTAGAATATAGGCCCTTTAATGAAACCGCAGCAATGTATTCGTATACAGAGTAATGATGAAAATGTAAAGTGATAACACGACACGTAGTTCGTATGTATTTTTGTTGTGAATAACATACACAGCATAATAATTGTGAACTGGAGAGCACTGAAATGTACGTCTATGTACCCTGTGAAGCTGGGTAGTTCAGTGGTTAAAGCGGTGTAAAACCCAACTCACTCACTCACCTTCTCTGGAGATCTAATATTTACGATAGATAACATGAAACGACTGAACTTTTATCAGATCGTATCTCACTCACTTACTCCCTCAAACACACACACACTCTCTCTCACACACACACACACACACACACACACACACACACACACGCTCGGACGCGCACACACACAGAGTACTGAAATGTACGTTTATGTCTCCTGTCAAGAAACATGCGTTTGTTATTTCAATGAAAAGACTGAGAATTGAAGAAGCAAGTATCGTGGCTGGAGATCTAATCATCATGTAGTTTACATTGTTTTTAGATCTAATGATATAGATAGATTATGTGAAACGATGGGTTCTTTATCAGTTCTTATTAAATACACACACACACACGCGCGCGCGCGCGCGCACGCACGCACGCACACACACACACACACACACACACTGTGTGATGAGACTAAATCGACGGAAATGCACCACTGATTATTCCTCATCCTTGTCTCACGATTGCATCTTCACATTGCAGGGGTGCCGTCCAGGCCGCAGAGGGCGCCTACACTGTCAGTGGAAACTCCTGTGTTGCTGCTAGGAAGTAGATGGCCTTAACCTTTGACGACATGGAGCGTCTACGACCACAGAAGCACATATTGCCTGTGCAATAAAATTTAGAAGCAATCTATGTTGTCATGCCTATTTCGACAAGGTTTAATACAAAACATGATTTTTTCAACTTGCTGATGCACATTATGAGTGAGTGAGTGAGTTAAGATTTAAAGTCACAGAATGAGTGAGTGAGTGAGTGAGTGAGAGTGAGAACCCGGGTCTTCTGCGTGACGAGCGAATGCTTTAACCGCTAGGCTATGTTATGAGAGACTTACGCCGCTTTTAACAATATTCCAGCAATATCACGGCGGGGTACACCAGCAATGGGCTTCACACATTGTGCTTCTGTGGGGAATCGAATCCGGGTCTTTAGCGTGACGACCGGACGTTCCATCAATCTACCCCACCGCCACGCAAAAAGGTGGACAACACCGGAACACATGGCACATCAGACACGAATATTGAAGTTAGAAAGATCGTCCACAAGTTTAACATTAAACGTTTTGAAATCTTTGAGGCCTTGGATATTGTAAAATTGATGAAAGAAGACAAATTGATCTAGATAATTGACATAAACTTTACTTGAAAACTACATATAAATAGAAACGTGTATGGCGATTCCTTCAAGATAAGACAGGTTTAATCTCCGGGTTAGATTTGATCTTCAGTAACCCATGCTTACTAAGAGGCGAATAACGGGATCGGGTGGTCAGGCTCGCTGACTTGGTTGACACATGTCATCGTATCCAAATTATGTAGATCGATGCTCATGCCGTCGATCACTGGATTGTTTGGTCCAGACTCGATTATTTACAGACCGCCACCATAGACCTGGAGTGAGTGAGTGAGTAAAGATTTTACACATCGGCAATATTTCAGCCATATCGTGACTGTAAAACAAGTTATAATTTCATGCTAGATAAAGGTAAACTATAAAACCCCGTCAACGAAGGACAGTAAAATAACTTAGTCTAGTGGATCACAGATTTCCATATAGCTGGAATGTTGCTGGTGCGGCGTAAAACTAAACTCACTCACTCGTAGGAGCACTTAGTGGTGCAATAAAATATAAATATAAATATAATATAATACCTGTTAACAGTTAATGTTGTCGTAACTGGTGTTTGGGTTTCAGTAAACCCTACCACAGTTCCCTACTAATTATGATCGTTCCACATTGTCAGGAGAGATGAAAGCTCCAGCTCTGCACTCGCCTGGTCCATGGGGAATGTTAAGTCAAGGGGTGAGGGGGTCGTGACTCCTAACTAACTACATTACATTCATGTACTGGCATACATACATTCAAGGATAAACGCAAAACCAAGTTCTATACTCACATGGGTTTACTGTCTCTCAGTCCATCTCGCTCTAAGTACAACTCCAATACAAGACAGAGCAGGCTCGTACCACACGGGGAACTGAGAAACGTGGGTTGGCTTCCGAAATGTTGAGCTAGTACTCTTCGCACTCTGAGCTCTTAGCGCCCAAACATGTCTTTTTAAATGAGACGAGCCTGACCTGATCTTGAACACATATTTCAACATATCGTTTTGATTCATTAATAACTGTATCTGTCCTTCACTCATGTGTATTATAATTAGAAGGGTCTCGGGAAAAACCGTTCAGTGACTCCCCTTTTCAGTGATTGGATACTTCCGTCTACTTCCCTGTTCTAAGTCAATGAACTCATTGGCACACAGTTAACCAATAAAGTAAATCTTAACATGCACTGGCTCATTCCCCCATTAATACGATTAAGACTTTGAAAGTCTTAATGCAGATGAACTACAATCATCAAATGTTTTCTCAGGTTTATAATATCCCATGTGATAGGTCTATGACGTTCAGAATTCAACTTGGCTGATGCAAACATAATATACTCCTCACAAAAAAATAAGCAACAATTATTTCCAGTGCAATATCTTTATCAATCTCGATAGCGATTTTTGCCGATATGTTACTGAAAGGTAAATATTCAAAGAATACGTACATAACCTTCAGTGACTGTCAAATTGATTTATCTGATAACATTGACAACATCACCCGAACACAACCACCCTCAGAAACAACATACAAAATGTGTGGCATGAATGTGCTCCACTCTTCACACGTGCACCCGGATCGGTGTAAACCTACCGGTAATCATTCCTCTGGCACAACAAGCGGGTCCTAACTTCATTTTTATGGATGATAATGCCCGAGAAAGAGTTGTTAACGATGTGCAGATCAACAACATCACACATATGGACTGGCCTGCAATGTCACTTAATCTTAATCCCATTGAAGACGCTTGGGGCATTATTGGAAGTCATGTTTACGGTCTCCATGTTCACCCCTAGACTCTGGATGACCTTGTCATGAAACAATGTATAAATGACTCCGCAGATGAACACTGGGTTGTCTGGTCTTTGTTGGTTTCCACACACGATTATTTAATCGATGTAGAAATTTCTTTGTTGGTTTCACCCTTTATTCTTTGACGTACAAATACACACACACATATGCATACACACATTGTATATATATATCCCTCTTATCGCTCAGTCGATGTGTTCTGAGAAGGCTCTGCTTGGAAAAGTAAAAAAGAGACTTTTCCAAATGAACTTTATTCACACGTATCCGCACCCGCTACATCCGTATTGGACATGTAGAGAACACACACGTCCTCAACTTCCGCCATCCACATCCACATCCACATAGACCCAGGTGTACAATTTTCTATACTCCTTTTTCAATAAACGATATCTGAGTGAATTTAATCCATCGGTTTTGCTGCCTTTCGCTAGCTGCTTAAAAAGTTTTACTCTGAAAAGAACAAGAAAATAATATGTTGACATTCCCTCTGGATGAGCTTGCTTTGAAATAACGGGAAATAGTGAATCACCTCCAGATAAGCAAGAAGCTCGAAATGTATAATAGGTAAGTCATCTATCGTAAGGCTGGTTTCAAAATGAAACTTTCTAATCACTTGCAAACCGTAATTATCAATGCCATGGCATAAGAAATTCACGCGTAGAATGTGTATTCTAACGAAGACGTGAATACACAGAGACGTGCCATAAGTGCAGCCACTCATTTCGCGTGCACGAGGTGCATATGTGTACAGTGGAGGAAAATAGGGAGGGTGGGGTGGGGTGAGACTTGTGTTTACAAGACACATTATGAAATCAGGTATTAGTCAGAAACGAAGACTTGTGTTTATGAAAATTAGAGTAACGAAAAATATCTTATATCCAAAATATATGTACAATAATTTTCCCCAAATATATCTACTAAAGATAGACACACACCATAATGACATTGTCAGCAAACGTGTAATCCATTACAATATACAAACCAAATAATTACATTTGATCACAAGTGAACTGGTCTTCAGCAACCCATGTTTGTCTTAAGAGCCGGTTAGCGGGATCGGGTGGTCAGGGTCGCTGACTTGGTTGACATGTCATCGAATCCATATACATGTAGCTGGAATATTGCTGAGTGCAGTGTAAACTCACTCGCTCATTACAGGGTGACAAACCGTTGCTATCAAGCGTCTGTATTATGTCTGTTGCATTTGAAACAGTGAACTGTACTCATGGAAGGTGAAAATACGTTTGTCTCGTTTTGAATACATTAATCTCTGACAACATCCGCTTGGGAAACGACATTTCATTTCTGCTGAAACTTACTGATCCTTGCTCTTCGGATTTAATTTATCTCGTCCATGTCTGATCATCTTGTATCGTGCAATTTCTTCTGACCGTCGATAATATGTTAAACCATTCAGTTTAACTCTGAAAAAAATATAAAAATGTAAGTTATAGAAGAACTAGGGATGCTGTAAATGAGCACCGTGTTCCACACAGTTTGGATATCAACCAAAGATAGCAAGCAAGGCACACGTTATCAACGCCGTCAAATCCAGTATGTATTGATAATGATTGGGATTTGAACTCATGCTTATAGTCCGTTTGCTACAAAACACCCAAAAGAATTGAAAACTTATTAAAATTATTATTATATTATCAAACTAATACGCTATAGTTCATAACTCCTCTATATCTAATCACTTTTGAAATTTGACGTTATGACGGATTGTAATATAAACAAGTGATGACAAATATGATATGTTGATATTTGTATCAACAGCAAACGATAGAATAGCAAGTATGTCAAGGGATCATCTAAAAATGTTAATCACTAAATTCACACGAACAGAATGGAATCCAAATCATTTGAGTCAACAATGGGAATACATGTTGCTTGTCACTAGATCATCTCCTTACCTATATGCTGATTGTATCTCATCTTACGAAAAGGTGTCTGAACTCAATTCGCAGTTCACAGTTGAACATATGACTTGACATCATTGAACCTGATCGACCCTAAAGATGATAATCACAGCAC